TACCGTCTAGAGTCTGCGTAAAATTGCAGCGAGGAATCCTCCCGTGAGACTTTTCCAGGCTGCGGACTATGTGAAAACACAAGACTATGTTTCTTTCCAAGCCGCAATCTTCGGTGCGGACTATGTGAAAACACAAGACTATGTTTTTTTCCAAGCCACAATCTTCGGTCTGTGGGGTCCTGGAAAACGGTTTGTGGGAGAAATTTCACCTTCTCCTGGACATCTGCTGCAGGCTGTGGGGTCCTGGAAACAGTTTTGCAGCGAAGTTTTTCCGTTCCGCAGTCCTGTGGGGTCCAACCCTGTGCGTGTGTCTGGTGTATGGCTTCTTGAGGATCGATGCGTGCATCTGGCGTATGGCCTCTTGAGGATCGGTGCGTGCATCTGGCATATGGCTTTTTTTTCTCTTCTTCTCAACCAAAGTGTCTGGCTTATGGCTTTTTTTTTTTAACACGGATTTGGTCTGATCAGGTCTTAAGACTCTTAACCTTTTGGAAGTTGCCCGGAGGAGGGATTTGGTATATACTGGTGTCTGGGTGTTGCATACTCCAATGAGTATGGGCAGAACCAAGAATCAACCAATGTAGGATGAGTATAGATGCAACGGAAGTCTGATAAACGGACTGACGCACATAGACCGACTCACATAGACTGACTCACATAGCATCACTCCACACACATTCAATCGTGAGATGGTGGGGTCTGAGCCATACATAGAAGATGCTCAGCCCCGTACACACATACACAGATGAATGGGGGAGGAGAGACGAAGAGGTGGGGGGAGGTAGACAGCACCGRAAGTCACCGAGGTAGAATCTGATAGGTCACTGATATGGTAGTCCAAAATGTCGTTCAACAAGATCAAAATGTCGAGGACCATAGGTCACCAATGTCGGGGATACAGAGTCCAAATGTAACCGGTGTCTGAACTGTGATGTCGCCAAGTATCAACCCCAACGATCTCCAAGTCTCCAATCTGGTAAGTACCACAGTCTTATATCACCGAAGTCCAACTCTGATCTCTGTCCAACTAGCATAAGTCTCTAGTCTGAAGAAGATGAATAAGAAGAAGAAGAAGAAGAAGAAGAAGAAGGAGGAGGAGGAGGAGGAGAGAGAGAGACAGAGCTGACGAGGGAGGGAGGAGAGGTCCTCCGGCTCCCAGGTACCTCAGGCGGCACTGGCCGCCGTGCTGGCTCAGTCGCCCTGCTGCTGCTGCGCTAATGCTGCGCTGCCGCTGCTGCTCCTTGCTCGCTCCTGCGCTAAACTTAGCGCATCAAAACAGCGCTCTGGCGCTGACCATACCGTACCGGTATAGTGCCGGTAGGTCGATGCTTCCAAGTGAGGCTGTACCGGTACTTTATACCGGTGGGGCAGAGGCCGGCCTCAATGCTGCGAGGCCTGGCCATACCCTGAACCGTCCAGATGGACGGTTCAGCCCCAACCGGCGGGCGGCAGCCTCAAGAGCGCCGCCAGGCCCAAACGATTTACTACACATTCAGTTACAACCGAAGATTTATGATTATATTTTGTTAACGCCGTTTGGGCCTGCCCGTTGGGTACTGGTCCAAGATCAGGCCCTGAGGGCCTGTACTATCCCAAGGTCGGGCCTTTAGGCCCTGATGTGTCCCTCCGACCCTAAGTCGGATCCGGTAGGGCCCGTGTGCGTCGAAGATGTAACAGGGTGGGGGTCTGGTAGTGTGTCCTTGCCAACCATAACCCATAAACCATGAAGAGGGAGACAAGAACCTGGTTCAAAGACTGAGCCTGGTTCAAAGTCTGGCACCTGCCTGCAGGTGTCACATGGACTCCTGCTGTGTTTTTCTGTGTTCTTCCTGACTTCTGTCCTGGTTCGAATCGCAGTTGGGTATTGGAAATTTCTTGCGAATTCATCTGCTGTGTGTCAGTTCATGTGCTTGCACGGGATGCGAGAGAGGAGGATTCAGCGGAAACGTTTGCGGCATTTGTCGAAAATATCAAAACCTCTCTCTCTCTCTCTCTCTCTCTCTCTCTCTCTCTCAAGAACGGTCGTTGCTACCGATGTGCTTGCACGGAATTCGAGAGAGGATGATAAATTGATATAATTGATTGCCAAATTTTGCTTTTGTCCCTTGTGCGGAAAGAATTGTAATTGCACAGGGCTCGAGAGAGGATGGGGGCTCTTGCACGGGATTTTTTTAGAGAGGATGGGGCCTCTGTCCATGGGATTTGATAGAGGATTGGGTTTGCTCCACTACTCTGGAAATGTGCAAAACGAGAGTGAATCTTCCGCTAGAACATGGAAAGATACACCACCATGATTTTTTGTCTTGTGTGCATTTTGAGAGTAGTGGAGCGAGGGCCGATGATCATTGATTGCCAATTTTTTTGCTTTTGTCCCTTGTGCAGAAAGAATGTGCTTGCACGGGATTTGAGAGAAGATATGATAAATCGATAATCGAATGCCAGTTTTTGCTTTTGTCCCTTGTGCAGAAAGAATTGTGATTGTACGGGGTTCGAAAGAGGATGATAATTGATTGCCAAATTTTGCTTTTGTCCCTTGTGCAGAAAGAATTGTAATTGCACGGGTTTCGAGAGAGAGGATGATGAGTGATTGCCAATTTTAAATTTTTGCTTTTTCTCGCTCTTGCAGAAAGAATGGTGATTGCTATGGATCCTGCTTGCACGAGGATCGAGGAAGGGTTATTTTGCACGGGGATCGAGAAAGCGTGATTAATTACTTGCCAGTTGCGTTTCGTTCCTTGTGATGTGTGCGGTACAGAGCGGAGCACAATAACTGTCTGGCAATTTCAACCCAGAGGCGGAACCGAGGGTGAGTGCTCTGCGCGCTTGAGAACTGGAAGCTCATAGCTGGAAGTGATTGATGCAATGTAAACCACCGGTACACTGGGGCCGGGCGGCGCTGTACTGTGCGCTGAGCTCTGGCGCGGTGTGCTTGTTTTCGTTTTTGGCTGGTGCTGGCATCCGTTGTGGTCCGGAGCCCCGAGCCTCCAAAATTTTCGGAGGCGATTTTAAATCCTGCGAAGCAGGGGCCGTGTACTAGCGGTGTAATGTGCCTCGCCCCAGTACTAGCCACACGCACAGAAGGCAGAAAATGTTGCGAGTTTCTTTCCATGTTCTAGCGGAAGATTCATTCTCATTTTTGCACATTGTGAGTACTGGAGACCGTGAAGGGCAGAGTTGTTCGAGTCAGGGGTGAGTGCTCTGCGCGCTTGAATCGGGAGCTTCTGGCTGGAAGTCATTTGATGCAATTTAAAAAGGGCATCTCTCCGGTGATCGCAGCATGCACAAAAGAGACAAAAAATATGACAGTGTATATTTCCATGTTCTAGTGGAGGATTCGTTCTCATTTTGCACATTTGGTTAGTAGTCGGGAGAGGCGCTCTGAGACAGCAAAACTGGAAATGAGATGTATCTCAGCCTGTAGGCCTGTTGAATTTTTATTTATTTATTTTATTTCTTATTTGTATTTTTGATGGTGGTGATGGACAGATGTAGGCCTGTTGATTGAAATCAAACATTCCACAATTTATAAACTTTTGTCCACTTCCTCCACGATCACAGGGCTGGTCCCACATATATTTTCTCCAGTGTTGAAAGTTGAAAATTTGAAATCCTTTTATACATATATTATTTATATATATACAGGGTCCCCATCCCGTACGCACGGAGGTCCCCGGGCAGACCTCCGTACATACGGGCGTTCGGGGTCCTGTACGGGGTCTGAATCCGACGGCGTTCAGCCCCCGCCAGAAATTATTTCGGGGCCTAAAAATGTATTTTTTTTTCTGAATTTTTTTTTGTGAGTTCTCTATGACGTGAGGTACATGCCTGTAAATTTTCAAGTCATTTGGCTCAGCCAAATAAGAATTAAAAATCGCCAAAGATGGCGGTGTCAAAACGTGCTCGCCCAGATGTTTTTTCACTTTTTACTTTTTGTTTTCACTTTAGTTAGGGGTCTAAACAATTTCATTATTTTTTGGAACTTTTTTAGTGGGTATTGCATTATGTGAAGTAAACATCTGTAAAATTTTAGGGCATTTAGCTATGCCAAAAAAAAAAGAAAAATTGGCAAAGATGGCGGTGTCGAAAACGTGCTCGCGCACTCACTGAATTTAATTCTTTTTTTATTTTTTGTTATTTTTATTATTAGTATTTGTTTTTGGTATTTTATTTTTATTTCAAATTTGGTAAGGAATTTGGATGTAATGCTCAGGCAAATCTTGTTTAATTTATTTTTCTTCATAACATATCTTTCTTTTCAACTTTTTTTGTTTTTTTATGAATTTTTTTATTTTTATTATTATTTTTTTTTGGTCCGCGTTCGGCCCGAACGGCCGAACGCATCCCCAAGGGGTCCCATACGTTTGGGCGTTCGGGTTTGGGCGTTCGGCCCATCCCGAACGCCGGTTACCCTGTATATATATATCTGTTTGTGACGATATATTATTTTTTGGCTGTGACAGACCTTTCTTTGTTTCGTGGATGTTTTGCTGGCTTGTGATGGGGTGTGAACCGACAGTCTGTAGAGTTTTCCATCTGGTGTGGGTGAGTGATAGTCTACTTTGATTTTGGTYAAGGTAGATTATCATTTACAGTGTAATCAGTGAGGGGATTCTGCAGACTGTTGAGGGTTCAGCCTCCTGATGAGTCGGTGAAACTCCGACGAAACAGTTTGTCACAGCCCCTCGTTTGTTGTCCTCTTCTCTCTCTCTGCCTACGGTTTTACCGGGCAGTTCTGTTTGTGACGATATATATATATATATAATTATTATTTTTTCGTAAAGCACTAGTACCTTTGCCGTCCGGTTTCAACAAGTTTTAGCCTAGTCCCGAACTTTTAGGAGGCCAGGCCCGACAACGGGTGCCGTTGATAAATCTGATCGGCGGCCGTCGTTTCGTTTCGGCCTCCTAAAAGGTCGGAGGCGTGCTATTTACCGAACCGACAAAGGCACTAGTGCTTTAACTTTAAATTCTTGCAAACCATGAAAGTGGTAGAGAAGTTGAGCTCCAGGATGTGTGCCTTCGATGGCATTTTCTTTTTTTGCCTTTTTCTTTTCTCTGTGTGTGCTCATCCTAGGGGCTTTCTCCAAGGTCTTAACGGTACCTCTTGGACCCTTGGGACTCTCCTGGACTCTCCGGACTCTACTCTAAGGTTGCCACCTGGGGGGCTGGTTCAATAATGTGCATCTTCCCAGCTGACTCAGTCAAAAAATCCCAGATATCTATCTGACTGCAATTACGGCCTGATTCAGTGACGAAAGTCCTGTATGTTGCAAGCGTTGAGGAAAGCCCGTTACGAGTGTGCATCACTTCCATGGGGTGTGGGAGAGGGGAATTAGACGACTGACAGTTCGTGCTGGTGTCCGGGTGTGCCTTATGTCTTTCTGCATGTCCCACCTGTCCTTGCTTGGATCTTTTCACACCCCGTCTTCCAATTCGGTGCTCATCTGGGCGCCTCCCAACAAGCATGGAAATCGAAAATGTTTTGCGGATAGCGAGCTCATTTTTCAATATGCAGGACTCGACGCCCAATTGCACAGAAGATGGAAGCAGTGACGATGTGTGTGTGTGTGTGTGTGTGTGTGTGTGTGTGTGTGTGTGAGAGATAGATAGATAGATAGATAGATAGATAGATAGATATATAGAGAGAGAGAGAGCAGTCCTACTTGACCAAAATTGCTGGTGGCGCCAGTCAAAAAAGGGAAAAAGTGTGCCGTTGGGGGTTTGTTCTATTTGGGCGCGCAGTGCAAATCGGCATTATTGGGAAAGAGATGCAAGGCTGGAGGTATCGGTGGTCTGAACCACATGGTTCAAACAAGGCTCAGTTAATGAAGCTATCTTGTAAGCCTTTCAAGCCTGCAACTGTGCCTTTTCAAGTACCTAAAAGACTGAATAAAAAAGTAACAAAGTTTAGAAAGAAGGTCCAAGAATTCAACTGAAATGAAATCACTGAATGAAATGCAAGCTGTAGCTTATACCCAAGGCATCGAACATGCACATTTTCTACGGGATCCCCAAACCCACCTACAGTTAAACCACGAGTACTTGGCCCAGCTATCGGCCGCGGGAAAAAATGGAGTAGAAACGTTTCTAGTCGGATGAATTTGGGTGCTCCTGTAGTAGCCCGTACGTTAAACCGTGGCGCGTTAACCGGCACGACTCTAGGAAGTACTGGTGGTTTAAAAGACACCAGCGCATTAGAATCCAAATCCGTACCAGTTTCCAGTAGCAGGCACTTCCAAGAGGTCGCATTATGCGCGTTATGGTGTGAAGCACGGAGCGTAAGATCACTGCCGTTCTTGTTCCACAGCGATCTTTCAGCTTCGCACTTTCAGGGTGGCCGCCGCTTTCACAACGGCGGACCCAGGCGCGAATCGAAATGCTCTTACCTCATATAACGGTAAGAGCACTACCTAGGTCAGAGTGAAATGATGGGTTAAATGAAAAAAAAAATCGCTCGATGACTAAAAGGCGAGAGAAGAAGCCCAGGCAATAAAAAAAAAAATCAAAGCAAAGAAGCCTGGGTACCAATTGGTGAAAAGAAGAGGGTGGAAGACACGTGAGTGTACCCTTCAGAGAGAGAAGCGCAACTCTCCTCCTGAGTTTCCCTCACGAGCACCGCCTGTCGGCCATTTGGCCCAGAGGAGCAACAGCTACTGGTAAGTATGACTTTTGTCGTCTCTTTCAGCATACACAGAAACATCACACATGTGGGTGATGTCCTACGTACTCGGATTGCCCTCCTCCATTGCTGACCGTCGAATGTGACCAATGGCCAGAATTGAATTACCGGCACAAGTGGGGGGCATTAATTACACTTGGGCCTAGATCCTCACTCACTTGCCCGGACTCTCCTACACCGCTGATGGTGGTCGATTATGAAGATCAACCAACCTTGGGAACTGATGAAGATGAAGATCAATGGTTAAAATAATGCATACGCTGGGCAAGTGGGGGGGCGTTGGGTGTGGTTGCATGCCATATACTGAAAGGACCCCTCTTTTTTTTCACCATTTCTTGACTTCTTTGTCATCGTTTTGCAGGGCTCATGCCAATCGTCTCTGTTCCAATTCTATCAGACGTCCCAACGGATAAAAGACATCATGAGTTATGCACATCTTCTCTGTTCGAATTCTAAGAGATGTCCCAACGGACAGAAGACGTCTCGAGTTAGATTAGAATCCCCTTGGACTAGATGAATAATGACATAAAATAATTCTGAAATTACGTGGGTGCAGTCAGTTCGGTGATGATTTCTCAAGGCCATTTGCCCTTTTACCAGAAGAAAAAGAAAAAGGCCACCTTGAGGTATGGAGCCAGGGCCATAAGGACGGGTTTTGCCAAAGAAAAAAGGAAAAAAAAGAGGAAAAAAAAGAAAAAGAGAACAGGCACCTTGTATTTTGCTAGAGAGACAAACTGTCTGTCCACCAACCCAGCCCCGTGTGGTTGAATGGTGTGTAGATGTTGCCTTTAGGCCATCGCCACACCACTCTCGAAATGTGCAAAATGAGAATGAATTTCGTCCTAGAACATGGCCGGATGCACGTGCTACAATTGTCTTTTTCGCATTTCGAGACTGGTGTGGCGATGGACAGGTCCCTCCTGACACCAAGTGAATGGTTTAGCAGGAGCAAGGCGAGACAGGCTAAAATTACGTCCTTGCAGTGGCAGATTGCCCACTGCTGCCTGCCGACGAATGCCTGGCTGACTGATCACACCCGTTTCGAACAAAAAGGGGTGTGCACTTCCATGGTGCCACAGGTGCGTCACAGCCTACCCCCTCACAAAAACTCAGTGAGACTATTTAAC